ATCTTTTTAAATGATTCTGACAGTTGTATTGTAAATGAAACTTTCATGAAGAAAAAAACAAAAAAAGAAAATCAAACTTACAGCCTTCACCAAAACTAGTGACCCAGCTGGCAGTTCCATCATAGAAAGTGCTATTTTCTGAGGCCAAGCAGACTGGATGGATGTAGTCCGTGAAGTTGACAGGAGCTGACATCTTTAGAAGACAGATGTCGTTCTCAGCACGATTTAAATAAAAAGCATCGTAGTCTTGATGGCAAACAATGGAGTAAACTCTCCGAGTTACTTCCCCAAATCTTGAATGGTTTTTGGCACCTAAGTGCAATATTGCACCACTGAGGTAAGAACTTAGAGAAGAAAGAAAAACATAATTTTTAATTTTGAGTATCACAGACTGTCACATTAATCAGATCCTCCTTTGCTTTGCTGAACTTTCTGCTGCTATCTCAGGGAAATTCAGCTCAAGGCTAAGGAAAAGTATTGACAAGATTTATTTTTAAATTCTGTTTCTGCTAAATTCTGCTAAATAATGAAGAAATAAAGAAGGATTCTGAAATGTTGTCTTCTGTTAGTTGCTGCACAACATCATATTCATCATCACAAGCAAAAATAGTGTCTTACTACTTAAAGCATCTAGCAGCTGTCAGCACCCACTCGTCTGTAATCAGGGAGCCTTGACAAAAGATCCTGCCTTTAGTGGTAATAGCGACATGCCAGGGCCAACTTCCCGGAGAGGCCTCTTGCCCTCCTAAGATCCTGCTGTTGATTGAAGACCTGGCACAGGCTGACAATATCCACAAAATTATAAAAAAAAAAAAGGATTAGAATTGAAGCTTTTATTATCACTATTGTTATCATTATTATTTCCATAATGGGTCTTTCAGTTTCAAACAGTTTATTCTTCTGCTGCATGGAACACAAACGTTTTAAAGAACAAATAATATATATATAAATGTAAATACAGTCATATTTCTTTTTCTTTCAGTTTTTTTTTTTTTGCTGTTTTCTAAAAAAAAAAAAAGAGGGTAGGATACTTACCAGGTTCTGATTTAATTCCTGAAATTTATACACACACAAATATGTTAGACATACAGGTAGTCCCAGAACAAGAAACCATTTAGCAAGTTAACAAATGGATCAAATCAAGAGAATAAATGACCAAGCTCAGAGAGCTCAGTAAGCATAGTGCGTCAAAGGTACTGTTTTTTAAAACTCCTTTTGTTGCTTTTTAGCCATCAGGAACCCCCCACCCCTCTTCTATACAACAGTTTTATCACTAATATTGAGTTGCACAACCAGTGGTGCAATCATTGCTTATCAGTTCAGGTCTCCTGTTAGTCATGTTTTTTTTATTATTTTTTATTGTTATAGAGATAAATAATCATAAAATGATGCAACTCTCAGGTATTTCTAATCTATTTTGGTATACTTTAAATTACACTTTAATTCATTGCATTTTGCTTCTAATTACTGATATTTATAAGATATGGTAGTTTTCCTTCTGACCAAACTTAACTAGCTTTGAGAACATTAGAGAGACAAAAGCATCAGATCCAATATTCTAGTGCCTAAATAAGATGTTTAAAAAACATTTAAACTTTCTTTCTTTTAAAAAATATTCAATCTATAAAACAAATGACCATTTCGATGATTTCCACAGTGTGCACAGGCTATAAATATATAAGAGCCTGTGTAATATAAATCATTTTACATATTTTCCCACCTTTGCAGAAAAGGATGATAATCACAGTGATCCCACATGTCAACCGCTGAAGAGACATCTTGAACAATAACATTTTTCTTTAACCATTAAAATTTAATACTTGATCTTTTGTGTTCAGCTCCACCCAGAATGACATGACATCCAATAGAAGATTCCTGTCACCCAGTTTCTCTTACTGATACTACTGGATTGAATAGGAAAAAAAAAAAAGAGTATTGCAAAACATGCCTGTCTGGATCACTTGGTTGGCCATGAGTTTGCGCATTAACCTCTATTACTGTAGCTGCATTTGAAACAGTTACTCTTTGCAAACAAAGAGGGCTACACACAGCCTGGCAACAGAAATGTGTTTGCCAGCAGAGGTTTCTTAAGCTATGGAAGCCCACCATATAGGAATGGTTAACTTTTAACATAAACCTTTACAAAAGGCAATCAGCATACAGATCCATTTACACCTTATATAATGTGACATTAGAAAGGGCTGTGCACTGTTTTTTTGTTTAACATTTAAACAACCCTTAGAGGTATATTTATTTAGTATACACAGCATATGTGCAGACAATGACTCCAGATTCAAGAAATCTGCGTCTTCATTGGTCAATTTTTACCAGGCAGCTTAGTGATGGAAACAACACGAAGTATGGTGTATGTATGGTGTTTTTCTGTGTTAAGTTTTGAGTACTTGATTTTATTGGATTGATTAAAGATATTTCTTTTTTGTCTTGATTTGTAAATGTATTGTTTCATTAGCTGATAATTTGAAATTAATATTCTTGTTTCTTTGTTATTTTGGAGATGTGTATTTGTTTATAATGGTTTCACCTCTATTTAAAAAGCATTTCCACCATTGTTTAGTTGTTGTTGATGTAGTTTGGTTTATGTGCTTTACCTAAAAAAATTAAACACGTGTCAGCTGAAAACTTTCTGGGGCCTGTTCTTCCAACTGATTTGGGTCCTACCTCCAAGACTCCTTTACCTCCGGACGAACATGTGATAGCTTTGTTAATTTAATTTATTCAATTCAGCTTATTTATTTACTGCAAATTCACATAACCTCAGGGCACTTTATAAAAACAATTCAGTCAGATCATACAGTTATTTTGTTTTAGTTTTGCCCCATCACATGACAATGGAGAAACCCAATAAGTCTTCTATGATTTTGGACAGGAGGAGCAACACCAAAAGACGATAGATGTCAAGATGCTGGACGATCAAAATATCAAAGTCTGTACCAACTTTTCAAATCATAAAAACGCATCAAGATGGATCAGTTATCATAAGCGCTCACATACATTCATCACACACATTCACTCCAAAACACAAATAAAATAAAATAAAAACCAAAACAAAAATATGGGTGCACCAATCAAAATCTCAACCTGTTGTTAACACAGTCATGAGCTTTCAAAGTCACGAGTCACAAGCTTTCAAAAAACCTCATAAGAGCAAGTGTACGGCCCACTTCCATTCCTCTCACTTGGCTCTTAGAACAATCGAGTGAGTTCTGTCCACAATGAAGTCCACTCACTGAGAGAAGTGTGGGTGAAGATTTTTTCCTGAGAGATAGGCCGCTGCTAGTTGCAAAGTTGCACCCCAGCCCAGTGCATGGCGGTAATACATTAACTGTACCCTTTGAGTTGTGTTAAATTACGCCATGCGTAAATACAGCATGAGTCAAAACCTTCGCTGTATTTATGTTCTGAGTGTTTATATGTTTGGAAATGCCAGCCCCAGCATTTATTTTACCTATTGCTTTAGCGCTGATGAAATTTCTCTGTTTGGCCAACCCTGAGAAGAAATGTGGAAAATCGACAGCTCCCCTGCTTATTAATCTGTTTACAGTATGCCAACTCATTTGTTATGACGCTGTGTTGGTCTAATAATGTTAGCCTTAAGGCTAAAATAATATTACTTGTTTCTTTAAAAAAAATAATAACCTCATTATTATTGTTATTTTTTCACGCATGGTATAGCCTCTGAGTCATTAACAAATGACACGAGGAAAAAGTAAGCAAATAATGAAACAAACAAATGGAATAGAGTCCACCTTAATACTGAAGCTTAACTGCTAAAGTTAGAAAAAAATTCCTGTAGGTCCCACACCCCGTGGCTTTTAAGGAATATTATTTAACTCACACTTTTGCTGCCACAGAGTTATGACTACTTTTAAAAGAAAAAATATGTTCACACAATACATATGTAGAAAATAAAAGTAAAAGCTTTTTTTTTTCTTTTCCTTTGTTTATGAATATGTATTAAAGCTTGTTGTTGTTGCCTATTCTGTTCCAGAGTGGCCGTCCACTAACCTACTGTACGTTGGACAGGAATGTGCCAATTCTGCGCTTGAGGTTTGACTTGGAGTTGGAACTCATCCAGGACTTCAGACTGAATAGGAAGGCCACGCATGACCTACAGAGGAGAGAAGAGGAACATGGCTGGGGCTTTCGGCTAGAAGTTCTGATATATGTTTACTGGCCTGCCTATGGTCTGCCTTATCATGTGGTGTCATGTGTTTTTAATATCCCCAGGTCAACCATCCATAGAAATGTCCACAAGGTTGCATTTGGGTCAATTTAAGCAGAGCAATATCCTTTCCAAGCCTGGCAAATCTGGACAGTGTGGGTCATGGATTTGGTAAACCTTCTGGGACACCCATCCTCAATAAAGCTGTCTGTGCAATAACGGTTGCGACATTCGGATTAAGCCCCCACCACTCCATACGCTGAACTATTTAAATCACAAATCTATCTATTCAATAACCATACAGGCAATTTGTGACTCCTCTAGAAAATTCTTCTATATTTTTGTGGGCTTTCTGGGGTCTGTACATGACACTTGGATTCTGAACAGGAGCTCTTTTTATGCTGCAAGATGGTATCCTCCATGTGGGTACTTCATTCTGGGTGATGGAAGATACATGTGTTTGGAAACAAGCCTAACCCAATCTGCCTAATCACCCCCTACAGGGAACCGGTGAATTGCAGAGTGCAACGGAAGTTCAACAACCACCATGCAAAGGGGCGTTCAATTAAAGAAAGAGCCTTTGTCATAATGAAAACTCAGTGGAGGTCTGCACTTTTTAAGGCCCTGGAAGTCAAGCCTATATGTGCACCCCAATTAATAGCATCATGTGTCTTTCTGCATAACATTTGCTTGGACAATGGAGACATCTTGGAATCTGATCAGGATGTGGCAGGGACAACGTGGTCCCTGAACTGCTGTTTCAGGAACTCCCTGACCCAAATGAAGCACCTGGGAATACCCCAAGTGACAGGCTTGTTGCTCTGATTTGATAATGCACAAGCCCTTCGTTGAACAAAATCCTGTAAATTGTTAAGTTCAGGCACGTATTTGAAATGTGTTTGTATAAAATTAATGTTAACGGTGTATATTGTTGCTCTGAGTCATATTTTTCATACATTTTCTTAAAGTTCTATTTTATGTACGATAACTTTGCTGTTTGTTTTATAATGATGTGACATACTGTATGAATTCAATTTGGGAATCACTGTTGCCAGTAGGATTCACTGTTGCCAGTCAAACGGATTAGCCTGTTAAGCTGGAAGTTGTGCCAAAGGCGCAAAAGTGGCAACTTGGGGTTGGCAGCTTCTGGGCTGTTACATGGCAGTGTTTACATTCCTGTTGTCAGCATGGGCCCAAAGAAGAATCCAGCCTTGGAGAATTTTGAGGAGATAAGGAAAGTGCTGGATTTCCTTTCTGGAGAAACCGCAGCCATTCGACCCGACCGAGTGTCTGACTTGGAACAGTACACCAAAAGGAAAGATGTGATCATCATCGGACTGCGGGTTAAGCCCGACTCTCAACGACAAACCTGTGATTATTGTGTCAGACGTGAACTTGATCAAGAAGAACGCCGACATTGTGAGTAAGGCCTGTTTCCTGAGGAAAAAGAAGAAGATCCACTCCACATGGACCACGAACTGTAAGGTCTTCATCAAGGTAATTGAACGAATGACCAAACTGACAATTTGGTTATTTGGGACATTACAGAGCTAGATAAATATGAGAGAACTCTTTGAAGAACATTTGGAGCACAGGTGATATCACATACAACTAACTTTCACCATGTCACAAGTTACAGGAACTGTTTCTGCATCACTTATGGACACAACACTAACACCTACAACTGTTAGTGCAGATAAACTGGAACTGAAAACTTTGAGCTATACGGATCAAGACATGAAAGACAATTTGGATCCAGATGACAACTATTTCTATGACATTGTTGATAACTGCTGCTACTACACAACTGATCAATTCAACAGGGCAGTTCAAGTAGATAATACATTTTCTACATTTCAACAGCAAAAGTTTATATGCAAATTTCAACAACATAAAAGACTCTGAACAGGTTTAAACAGCCATTCAGTATCATAGCCATCTCTAAAACATGGATCACTACACCCTGCAGGATCACACTTAACAGCGCCACATTAATAGATAATATATTTACTAGTATCTTAGGTAACAATACGTTAAGTGGATTAATAGTTCAGCATTTTAGTGATCATCTTCCAATCTTTGTTGTCAGCAACAATTTTTATATAAAAAAGGATAAAAGTAATCCAAAGCTTAAAAGAGCAAGACAGAGGAATCACTCAAATCTTTCAAAGAGGACTTAGTGAAACATAACTGGGAGTCTATTTTGCAAGAAGATAATGTTTATAAAGCATATGATAATTTTCTGAATATCTTTAAAGTATTATATGATGAAAACTGTCAATTATTATTATTCTCTCATAAAAACAAATAAAATATATAGAGATTTCATAAGGCATAGGTCTCACTCTTTAGGCAAACTGTAGGGGGTAAGTGATCTCGTTGATCAGTTGTGAAGGCACAAGGCGCTCCAAGGGCTTCATAACCACAGAGGTCAGGGAGACGGGTCTAGAAGGATTAAGTCCTGACTTAAGACCCAGCTGGCATATCCCACTTTTCAAATGGCATATGGTAATTCTTATTTGGCATAGGCCACTTTTCAAATGACATATGGCATATAGCACTTCCCAACTGGCATATACCATTTTTCAGAAGTTGCATGCCAGATACCACTTTTTGGCTTTCGCTGGGACTCTCTTTTTGGGCTCTCTTGATAGCACTCGTATTTTCTCTCTCTATTATAAGTCCTACATTTTTCTCCTTTGGCCACATCCAGAGATTTTAGATTTCTGAAAAATATTCTATGTGCAACTGAGTCCCAGTAGTCAACTTCAAGCTGCATGGAGATGGTCTTGTAGCCTTTATCTTTAAAATGCTTGACTATAATTTCATTTCTGATCTCCTGAAGCAACTTTCCTTTGCTTCCTCTGGTCGATGTTGAGTGTGGTACGCTCCATATTGCTAAACAGCACAGTGACTACCTGTAGCCCTATATATAGGCCCACTGATTGATTAAAAAATCCCAGGCGCCTGTAATGCTAATTAGTGGAAACACCATAATTTAACATTTCCTTTTGGTCACATTTTTGTCTTTTCTAGAGGCACTAATTTAGTCCAAACTTGTTTCATGAGTTTATTTTTTTTTATATATTTATGCTGAAGCATGGCTGAAAAGCAATTTCTGACTTTCATAGCATTTTTATTCATTAGGACTTTTCCAAGATAACCGATTCAGTGACCATTGTGTTTTTTTTTATTATTATTAAAATGATGGGTATCCACAATTTTGTCAGTGTGTGCACATTCCATTGCACATATTTCATACATCTCTCCTCACATGCTTCATATTTGTTTATGCTAGTTTTTTAAATTTTATAACAACAGTCTTTATATTCACCAACATTCTAAACCAAGTGTCATACTGACAAAATGTATCCTTAATCTCTCCCTCCTTTTTTTAATAAATAAAAAAAAAAATGGGCTGTACATACACATTTGAAAATGTGTCTAATTGAATTTCTACATAGTGTTATTGCCTACTGTTAATTTACTTGGATCATTGATTACAATATTTTCACTTTCGCTTCATCTGGTCTGTTCCTGTTTGGCAGTGACGCCATCCCAGAGATAAATATCAGCTGGGCTGCTTCCATTAACACCTTTATTTATATATTTTGCACTAGCCCTGCTTTTCAGTGTTGTTCTGTTTCTCTGACTATAACTAACTGTATGTGTTCTCTTCCATCCTCCGACATGGGAGCTGGCTATGTTTACCTGGATGTGTCTTCCCTGGACAGAACCACCTGTGGAACTGGTTGACACTTTCCTTTTGTATCTTTTATTATTTCTGTGTGTATGCTTCTGTCTCCTTGAACCCTAGTCGGCCTTGCAATGTCTTCTCAAACTGTTGGTCAAAAGTTGTTTACTAGCAGATTACAAAACACCCAGGAGGACTTTTCTTTTTTCCTTTACCTAGTTTTTTTTTTTTTTTAGTTCAATCCCACATATATACTACTTATGATGAAAATCAATCTGTTTGATTTAATTCTCATCGAAAAAAAATGAAAGAAAGATTTAAATTTGAAAAGCTTGTTTATTTTTGATTATGAATGCCTGTGAATCTAAATCCATAAAGACAAACTTTTAAAAAATCAGCCCACTTGTAATCATACAACTTAGCCATAATAGTGCTGGATTAGTGAGATTGTTTCATTTAGATATGATACATTTTTCCCCATAAATACTGTATTAGATTCTAAATAAACAACTTATGTATTTTTTAAATGAGTAAAGAAAATCTAAATTTGTTTAGGTCACCTGAACCGCAGATAAGCAAGAAAATGGAAAAAATCAGCCTCTGCATAAGTGCATAACAAAAATAAAACTCCATCTTTTACATTCCCTCACTACCAACAAAGACATGAAGAACCAGAGCAAGAGCAGAGAGAGTCACGAAATGAGTGAAGTGACTCAGATTTTTACCACTGCCAAAAATACTATCGTCAGTGGTGAAAGGCATCGATGTAGCACAGGTGAAGGACAAGTCAAAGTCGGTGCCTGGGGAGGTGAAGTTCACAAAGCCTGGCTTCCTTCCAGTAACACTATCATGGATCCATTTCTCGTACTTCGACACTCGAGCGTAGACTCCAGGTCTCTTTGGAATGGCACAACGATCTCCAAAACTCACCACTCCAGCTTGGACCCACACAAACCCATTGTATACCACCAGTGGTCCTCCTGAGTCTCCCTGTGAAAAAACAAGAAAACTTGTAAAGAATTGTAAGGAGGTATATTTTTGTTTTAAACTATTTAAACTATTTTTTTTATTGTTATTATGTTATTAAACTATTTTAGTTCTCTTACTTTTTTTATGGTTTTCAAGCTATGACATTGCTTTTCATTGAACAAAATGTAATTTGCATCATGCTTAGATAAAATCTGCTGATCAAATTCTGGTTGCCATTATTTCTTCCACAACAAAATGCAATAAGTTTTCATTGTGCAATTGGAAAACAGGATAAAATATAAACAATGCAGTTAACTAGTCTATCACAGAGACAGGACAGTCAACCATGTACAACAAAGACTCATACCTGAGAGCAATTCAAAATAACGAGTTAACCTATTAATAATTAGTTTGGACTGTGAAATGAAAGCATGCATGAGGAAAAAATACAAAATATGCCAAGAGAACCAAAGCCATGATTCAAATCTAGAACCTGCTTGCTGCATGTGTCCTCATGATTATTTAGGTTAATATGTGAGTTCCCAGAGCGGGAACTTACATATTAACCTTATATAGAGGAGGGTTCAGGAGCAAAGCAATAAGAAGTATGCTTATCTAGTAATGGAAATGGACCTATAAGGGTGAACAGATTGAAACAAGACCAAAGCAAAACCTTCAGTGGAGTACATTTCGATGAAGTTCAAAAATCTGATATTTTCTGTCAATGTGCATCATGTCAACCAATCAGGATGTTGACTGGATGTTGTTTTGAGGTACGGTGACAGGACAGTTGAGAGAAAGCAATTATTAGAATCAGAATGGAAGACAAAAAATCTTTTACTTAAAAAATGGATCAAATTATGGCTAAGGTCTGAAGGATGCTTTTAAAAAAATGCCAGGGAAAGGGAGGCCTTGGTCTGCCTGTGGGCATGTCAGCATTGGCATGTTTACCTACGTCAGCAGGCCTTCCGCATCCGCACAGACCACTGCTTCCGACTTAAGGCTTGGTGCACACCCATGAGATTGCTGAGGTAGGTGGACCAGCTGAATCAACACAACTTCAATCTGGAGTTTACACCTGGGCATAAACTACAATAGCCAATCTCCTATCAGTTTTTTTCTTTTATCCACCCAAAAGCCTTTGTATGGATTGTCAGTTAGGTATACCATATTTGCAATGGGTATCCCTTTATAAGAGAATAATTGCTTTCTAAATCCTGCAGATATTAAACCGCTGACAAGTACATCCAAGTTGGCACTGCAAAAAGCTGCCTCGATTTGATGTGCTTTTTTTTTGTTGTGAATCTCCCCTTTCTCTCATAATAAATTGAATTATTTAACATTTTGATAAAGGGTGCACCTGCTGATTATTATGCTATCAGGCGCCACAGTAAATGAAAAATGACAATGTTGGCAATTTAGCAAGTCGGGATTCTGCTGCCCTTTTCCCAGCCATATTTCCTTCCAATGTGCGTTCCCTCTGAAATTGTACAAAGTTCAGCTACATCCCTTATTTTTAAGTTTCATGGGGTGGAAATTGAGCTAGCTAGCTTCTAGATGTTCAGATTGGACAAAGACATACCACTGTCAAGTGAAGCAAAGGGTGGAAATATCTGTTTCTTCACCAACAGCAGCTGGTGTACAGATGTAGCTGATCTCCTAATCTGGAATATTTTTTTATTTACTGTAAACTTTTATTCTCTCACCTTTCATTTCACAGTGACTAGCGTGTACGAGGCCTAGCACATGCTCAACAACCAGATAATATCTCTGGAGTAGACACGCCAATAGTTGTGGTAATTTTAAGAGAACTCCCCCAAATACAGATTATTTATTAAGTGTCCAACTACAGAGGGAAAAATTTGGAAAACTGTTACACCAACGTGAGATGTGCCTATGGTGTTATCCCTGTGGTGCGCTCATTCACTCTTACCATGTGGTGTGCACCTTATTCTCACATAATTGCCCAAATACAAGCTATGTAAATATTGATTGAATCCGGATGGCTACTAACAATCTGGATTTACAGATGCTGTGCAGATTTACACCAACTTCTGTGAGACAGCTGTATACCAACATGCACCGAGGTGGGTTAGACACTGGGGCAGATGCTGGTTTACAGCTAAACTTATGAATGGAGACAGAGACTTATTAAGGTAATTCATCAGAGGTTTAGCCAATATATGTGAGATGTTAACAGACTGTGCTTGTTGAAAATAAGGCCCCATCCAGACAAACCTGGGTTTGAGTGTAGCTCTTTTGCCCCTTAAGCCGGGCGTACACTGTGCTATTTTCTTGCCTTTTTGGGGTGATTTTCCAGTCGTGCAAGAATTTTTAGATCGGGCTGACTTTCAGCCTGATCGTGCTTCGTATAGTGTACAGGGGGTAACGAGGGGCAATCGGCAAATCGCCAAATCTTCTTCCTCTTAGACAAAAACACAGAAGCATGGCGGGGGTGCAGGTGAAATGGAATTCTTTCTGTAAAATTGACAGACCGTAGTAGCCACGTTTGCTCTGCCATGTCTTTGTCCAAATATGTGATTGCCTTTTATTTTTTTTCATTTTTTTATTTGTTTTCATCACAAAATTGTACAAATTACCAAGGCAGCGTATTTTGCTCTAGTGAGCTTCATATTCCTCTACTACTTGTTGGGCTTCCGGATAGACGAGTCAGAGTAGCACTGCAGAGCTGAGTCTGACTTGGTTTTTAGACGTACTGTCATGATGCGATGGTTTACTAGCCCATATGCAGACTCAGACACGGAGGGAGGAATAAAAGTCCAATATTTATTGGAACACGGAGGAATCACAGAGGCTCAGACAGGCATGGTGGCACAGAGAAAACAAACGATCCAGCACAGAGAGACAGACAAACACAGCTTAAATAGGAAGCTTCCTAATCAGCGGACTGGAAACAGCTGATCAAGCCAAGTCCAAACTCTCCAGGCTTGGATCCATTGCGCCCTCTGGTGGGCAAAGTCTCGGATCCTGACACGTACAGTGTCAACAGGCAGATCGCATCATGGCGTCGTGCTGAACATGCATCATGAGCTCGCACTCTATGACGAAACCCTGCAGTTTCGTTGTACAGTGTGAGCTGTAGCTGCGTGCAACAATTGAAAAAATCGCGCAGTGTATACCCGGCTTTAGGGATCCCACCACTGAAAGGTGGCTACAAAACTGCCTATATTTCAAAACAGGTCTCATAGTGGGTAAGTCTCCTTTATGATATCCCTATAACTAAAAGGCACTGGTATGTTTTTCCATGTGAGCCAAAGGAGCCCTTACTACCCTTATACTGCATGCACAAAAGAGCATCAAAAACGCTTAAACCCAAAAATTTGGACACTAGAAAAATTGCTGATAAAACCTTGGTCAAGTTGCTTTGACACTTCAAAGCTCTGGATGCTTGGCTTTATGTACTTTATGAGTTAGGATTTTTTAATTTTTAAGGTTTGTGGTAAAAACTGCAAATCATACGCGTGCGCCGGCTACCATTCATTCATCCTGTCCGCTGAACTACTGCTAGTTTTACTCACATGCCTGGAAGATGTCTAGTGCTACTACCACAGATGATGGGTTAGGGTTAGGGTAACCCTAACCCTGTTACGACTCCAGTCTTGCGCGAGGATGACTTCATACACACTTCGCTTTGTTTTTAACAAATATAAATATAAAAAAGAAAACCACAGATGTCTGGGGGGACAGTGATTCACTTACATGTTTTGAATGCTGGCGTACCATAAAGAATACATTATGGACAGTTTAGTTTGTGCCTTCAAGTCGTTGCCCAAAGGAAGACGTCACTTGGATATAACCTAACAGAATATCTTCAGAACAGCTCCAAATGACACAAAACTCATTTGGGTGAGTAGAACATAATGTAATAACGTAAAATCAAGGACCCAATGTAAAAAAAAAAAGGAAAAAAAAAGGGATTTCCCCTTTAAGCCTGGCTCCCATACATTTTAAGATTCATTTCAAAGTTGTACACCCCCCACCCCCCCTTCCAAAAAAAAAATGAACACATAAGCAGATTTATGTCTGTTCCTCAGGTTCCAGTTGTTTTGCAGTCAATGGTAATTCACGTAGAGTGATATTATAAGGATGATGTCCTTAATTCATACCCATTGTATTCTAGCTTTTCGTTTTTTCTCTCATTTATCAGGGGGACCTCTCCAGTTTCTACATGAATGGATTTAGCAGGTATGGAAATAGGACGGATGATTGGATGATAGGACAGTGAGATGGATAGATTTTATGTATTAGACTTGTCTTTGTCTTGCAGCACATACTAGAACATGTCCTAAAAAAAAGAAAAAAATCTGTTCTGTGAACACACACAAAATCATAGTCACCTGACATGAGTCCTTTCCTCCCAGATCAAAGCCCGCACAAATCATGTTCTCTGTGATGGTGGCAAAGTCTTGATTGTAGCAAGAGCACTTCTTGTTTCCCACAATTGGCAGTTCTACTTCCTGCAGGATGGTAGGTGTCATCCCATTGCCTAAATGAACGAATAATTTTGTGTTTAGGTGGAAATTTAGAAACACTGCTGGTATCTAAACACCTTTTTGGAACTTACCAAGGTCCCCAAAGCCAGTGACCCAGCTGGTAGTACCATCATGAAAGGTACTCTCCACTGAGGCTAAACATACAGGTTGTATATAGTCTGTAAAGTAGACAGGAGATGAAAGCTTCAGGAGGCACATGTCATTCTCCAAAGTAGAAGAATCATAGTCAGGATGGCAGATGAAGTAGTCAATGCCCCGAATCACTTCGTTGGCGTTGGGATTTGATAAACTGTGGACACCCAGATGAACTTCAGCCCTAACGATTCCGCTTAAATGTACAAAAAAGAAAAACACAGTAAAGTGTTTGTGAGTTCAATAGTTGAAATTTGTTATGATCATACCTAAAAAGACATCCAATAGAGATTTTTCGTGTCAAGAAATGATTTAACTTTGAGAACACTAAAGTGTTAACTCCATCTGCATAGGCATTGCCAAACCCACACTTATTGTGTTAATTTAAATTAATTGATTGACATATATTTTTCATGACCCTTACCCTAACTATTAACAAGATGTACCAAATCCTTTATATATATATATATATATATATATATATATATATATATATATATATATATATATATATATATATATATATCAGGATTATTACTCAGAGTTATTGTACAGGGTTTGAAAAGGGTATTTACATAAATAGATATTTTTATATAGAGTTATTGCGCGGGGTATTAAATGAGTATTTACATAAATAGGTATTTATATATATATATAGTTATTGCACTGGGTATTAAATACTAAAGTATTAAAACTAGGGCTGGTCAACGATTAAAAGTTTAAATCGCGATTAATCTCATGATTTCCGTGATTAATTGCGATTAATCAAATTTTTATACGCAATAAAAAAATTATGAATTCAAATAGTCTGTAATTATACTAATCGGCCTTGTTAGCTTCTCTTGCCTTTGTTTATCTATACTTCTCCCACACGCTGCATCTAACGTAGTTTGCTGAAGCCTCGCGCCACTGTCTGTTTCGTTAAATGATTTGCTGGTATCAACTGTGTGTTTTGCATTTTAGACTCGAAGTACTCCGGTGATAAGACAATGCAACTTTGCAGTGATTACAAATAACTTTGCTTCTGTCGACTGCACCGTCTGAAAGAACTTCTCCATGTTTGTTGGTTTGTTTATCAGGCAATTCCTTTTCTTTTTCGATTCCTTTACTTCAGGTTCCAGTACTTTTAGTTTTAGCAAATAAAAGCCTGGGAGCAACAGACTTTTACAGTAATAACAGAAATAATAAAAACTGCGTTAATACCAGATAAAATAATTGTCGGCGTTAATTAATTGATTGATGAGTTAACGTGATAATAAGGAGTTAACTTGCCCAGCCTTAATTAAAACGTATTAAAAACTACCCTTACTCTTAAACTGGCCATAACAATTTGACCAATAACTTATTCAGCTAATTTTCTTCACTAAATGGAATGGTATAAATCAGTGTATGGGAACTGCAATAATAATAAAAATAAAAGGGAAATCTCTGGAGGTATGCTGTCTCAGACAGATGCTTTTTAAGTCTTATTTTAAAAAGGTAAATTATCAGTATTGCAAATATCAGGAAGATGTGATTTTCAGAGCATTGGAGCAGAGGATGAAAAACCTCTGCTCCCCATGGTGATGAGGCAGACAGGAGTCTCAACAAGGTGGATGGAAGAGGAAGGGGGTGGCAATCTGAAGTAGCTCTGAGAGGTATAGGGAACCAACATTACCCCTGTAAGACTGGAGTACTGTGACAAAATGATGGGGTTTTGCTAATCAAACAGGACCCTGAATTTTGGACAAACTGAAGCTTATTGAGGGACAAAGAGGAGGATTGTGTAGAAAATGAAGATATGCAGAACAAACATAATTGTGGGAGGTGAATACAATCAAGGAATAGAATTAAGGATGACACACAGATTCTTGATCTAAGTGGAGGGAGAGATGGTTGAACTTTCAATCGAGAGAGAAACTTGGATACTTGGAAACTTGGATCATGGAAAACAACACATTTCTTTCCTAAAGGAGGATCTTTGTTTTTTGCAATTTAGCATTAGGAAGTTAGAGGTGAACCAGGCTTTTGGAAAGATGTTGCCATGAGGCAAAAGGTAGATAATACAAAGTAGAGGCCTCAGGACATAGCTCTTGGGCAACTAGTTTTGATAGGGGATGGAGCTGAGCTAAAATACTTAATTTGGAGGAACTGAGTGGAGTAAGAGTATGGCCAGAGGCCATAGTCATTTTTGTACTAAGGTTGATGATGGACTGTGGAAATAGTGAGCACTGTATAATATCGGACAAGTAACACTTGTGATAAATCAGGTTTAATAATTTCTCTACAAGCATTGCAGACCACTTGTTGGCCATGTTTTGGTTCTCTTTGCAAATCCACTCAGGGATAAATACTATATCATTTTTTTCTAGTTTTCACCCTGATATCCAGACAGTGAACTGTTCTGAACCGCTGGCAGAAACACATCTGCTTGTCTTTAAAAAAGGTAATGATGATGATTAACCCACCTTGCTTTAATCACACCTGTCTCTATTCCACCAAAAGGGGATATTTCAACAATTAAGGATTCACCTGCAGGCAGTGGTGTTAACTTTTTTGTCTCCCAAAAATTTTCAGCTGGAATTAAATCAATGTTCTAGCTGAAGTAAATTATTAGTTTTTATAAACAATATATATATATATATATATATATATATATATATATATATATATATATATATATATATATATATAAACAGTTTACATATATATATATATATATATATATATAGATATTTATTTTATTTTTATTTAATTTTTTTCCATGTATAGCGAGAGATAGAGAAAGTGGGAGAGTGAGTGAGGGAGATGGATATTCATTTCTATGCTATCTGCTTCCTTCAACAATTACAATTCTTCTGATCCGGAAAGTGCCCCGAACTTGAATTTGCTTATGGCTGTTGCAGTTTATGTTTATAATTTACCTCCATTAAGGAAAGGGAAAATGAAGGCCCCTAATGTTATAATAGTTGTAACCATGCTAAATGAGTAAAATCTCACCTTCCTACACAGTGAGCAGCAGTGAGCACCCACTGGTCAGAGATCAGGGATCCTCCACAAAAGGAGGAACCACCAACTCGCTGTAAGCTTGCTTGCCAAGGCCAACGCCCAGTAGTTGCATCCTGACCTCCAACGATTCTGGCTCTTGTACCTACATAACCACATTCTAACATGAAAAAAGAAAAGGAAAAAATGTATAAACTGTATGATTTGAGATAAATTTCATCAGTGTTTATAGAATGTTAAAAAAAGAATTATCTCTAATATTCATAGTATTTTTGATAACCATTTGGTTTAACTTTCACCCATGTATGAAATGGTAAAAAACTAATTTTTATTGAGGTTTTACACTAGATGATCTAAGCTACCAAAGTCAAACATTATTTTAACACTGTAGCAAATTCCAGATCCCCTAGATATGTGTAAAATGTGTCAAAACTAAGTTATGCAGATTTATAAATAGAAGAAAAGTGCAAATTGTATTAGATTATACAAATTGATATGATTAGATTGTATTTATGTTGTATCTATATTGAAATTTCTTTTAAAATGGTAGTAGAAAATTAATTATACAAAACATTTTTAAACTAAACATGTTTACTAGTACGTTATAGTACTAAGGTAACCCAAGGAAGAAAAAATAAAACTATCTTACTGTCTAATCTGAGAAGAGATAAATAACTTGTTAAAATAATTAGAAATTGCATTGGAAACTTACCTGGCTTTTGTGCTTGACAACCTGAAACACAAAACAAATATGTAGTTATTGATTTTATAGGATAAAATCCCAAATAATTTTTATATTTGAATTTTGCAGCTATATTAGATTTTGAACATAATGACACAGACTGATTACAAAACGATACCGATAGCCTTAAAAAGAGGATTCGTGTTCTGTTTTCTTGTTTGATATTGTTTTGTAGGGATGCCAAATATTTCAAGGATTTTTCAAAATTACACTCAGCCATGCTTTATTTTAAAGCAGAAAAAAACCCATCTAGCAATTAACCATAGAACGTAACATGCTAATTATGCAAATTACTGCTGCTACAAAATGTAGATATGAAGGTTGGAATTAATGAAGTAACTTATAATGCGGGCTTTAGTTTAAAAACATGTGGCAGTGTCGAGGCCTATGACCTGCTCAGTCATATTTTTCCATAGGGTATGTTAAGATCTTTTCATGAAAACGCGGTGTAGTTGTGCTTTAAGGCGAGTACTGAGCACACAATGTAAATGTCATGTCAAGGGAAACCTATTTCTAATGCTATATTTTGTTGTCTATATTGTTGCCTAATTTCTGTCAGTGTCAGTTCAAGGATGCTCAGTTGCCTAGCAACCGTGTCAGCTGACACAGAGACCAGTCACAAAATGGGTGTCGAACTTCTCACTATTGTTCTGTATGCTAATTACATTTTTGAGGAGCTTCAGCAGCAGTACCATTGTTCCAGATAACAGATTGTCGTTCCTGCAGAGATATTGGAATCTGAGCTTAAATGTCAGCCAAACCCATTTGCACAGGGAATGATAAAACCTTTCAGTAAACCAAACTTTACTGACATATCTGACTCAATAACAATTTAAAAAATGTCATTAATTTAGGACAAAATTATAAGACTTTCAAAAAAACTTTAAAAACAAACCATTGGACTTTGTTTTCCAAGTTTGAAGAAATTTCTTTCCCATCCAGAAAGCTTTTTCAATTCAAAATGTCAGAATTAGAGTTGAGTTCGAAGCTTTATGGAGTAGCCCGACATAGCCTTGTTCTGGCTTAGAAAACATGCAAGTTGAACCTAAACCACCCTTGGTGATGGGGAGTCTTTAAGGTCTTTGGTAGCCTGGCATTTCCCTTTAAAAAAAGGGGGGGGGGGGAATTAGGGGCATTGTTGGCCTGGCTGACCAAGCAAGATATCTTGGTCCCCTGCATGGCGATGAGGAATATGATAGCGTGAAGGAAACAACGTGGGTTTTTTAGAGCTGAAACCTGAGTCCACCCCCGTGTTTAAGGTTGTTTTTTGTCTCTTAACATAAATAGCTTCCATCACATTCCTTTCAAACCACCTGTCAGCTGTAGATGTACAGCTGAGTCTTGTCCAGAGGAGGTAGCTCTCCTGTTTTGAGCCAAGCGTCTGTGGTGAGGTTGTTTGGTTTTTAAGGGGTCTGAGGGTTTTGTCTTTAGCCTAAAACTAAACTAGCACTAGTTTGGATAAAATCCTCTTCAGTTTTTCAGAGACTTCAGCAACATATGGGATGACGATGTTTTGCATTTCATCTTCTCAATGTTATGTTGTGCTGAGTGTTTTTTGGATTTCCTTGCTGATTTGACAAATGCCTAGTTTGGGTATCCACAAGTTTGAAGAGTTTCTTTTATGTGTTTCTGTTCTTTGTGCTTCCCCTTTGTTTCTGTAGGGACATGCTCGGCCCTGTGTCGGTTCTAAAGACCGAAAGTTTGTGTCTTCGTTGCTCATGACTGATTCGCCTGCTACCACCACTTATTTCTTTGCCAAGAGGATATTTTGTTTTAACTGCTTTTTTGTTTCCAAGTTATTTTATTGTGATGCTGTATTATTTAAGTTTTTTTTGGGCTCTGAATTAAATCGTGTCTTCAATGAAAATGCGCATCATTGTTTCTCAAGTAGCTGATAGGCTGCTGGTTTTGTAGGATTCAGATCAATCTTGAAAGCTAGCATGCTCCAGACAGCTTTGCCGTTCAGCATACGTGATGGTGACTAGCCTTGCTAAGAATTAATCCAGCTTCCTGCTACCTGAAATTGAAGGTTAAACCTGAAGTTGTCTTGCTATCCCAGTAACCTTGCTTCATAGTATAGGCCTCTGTTGGTCTGGTTTTAATTATAACTGCATCTAGCAAACATAAACAAATCTTTGATAGAAAGTGAACTTTATTTCAGCGGTATCAAAGGATTTACAAGCTGTGACTGCCTGCACGGGGAACGGACTGCTTGCAGGTGAGAGCTGTCCAAAGTTAAGCCGTTACTTTGACTTGAGGCGTGTTTCTCAGGTGAGAGCTGCTATACTGTAACAATTTTTCTATGATGGTGGTGCTGCTCCATGACCCAGGACAAAGGGACAAATGGTTGTGTATTTTCCTTTCTCTGTCTTTAGCGCAACAAGCCTTATGTATCGCAGTTATGTAGTTTAAGAATTAAGCAGTATTTCTTTACAAAAATAATAATAAAAAAGATGGCCATAAATTGAGAGGGTTGGTTGTAACTTATGGTGACATTTCATTGACTTGCTTTTATTTAAGATCGCCTATTACCTACATACACTTAACCGTAACCCTTACCTGAACTGCATTGTCACCTAGGTCCTAAACCTAACCCAGGCTCAAAAAAATCCTGGTCCCAATAAGGACATAGGTCCCCATGAGGTGACTATGTAAATAGATTAAGGTCCCAACACTGGCATTAGTCCTTACACACACACCTTTGGCCTGGCACGATTGACCGAGTGTTTCCCCGTGCAGCTATTATAATAGCCCTTCTGTTTAACTATTTGACACAGACTGGAGTTGTTGCCTATTACCTTATTTTTGTTCAAATCTTGATAAACATATAGTGATGTTTCCCTCTTACCATTGAAACTGCAGCCCCTTGAACCATTATCTACACGGAAAGCCCAGCGACCAGGTACATTGACGTTACTACCATGACTTAAAAGGGAGCTGTTGAAGACTGTGTCATTAGAAAATGATCCATGGATGGTGAAGTGGTGAGAGGATTGGGCTGTGTCATATCCAGCCTGACAATGACACGTTTAGAAAAAAATAATTTCAGGCATGCTTTATAAAATAGATACTGAACTGTTAAAAAGCAATAGAAATTTTCAATGCATATAACTGAAATGTCCTTACCTCTACAGCGATCTCCTTGGGTGCTAGGGCGTTGTAATTCATCAACACAAAAGAGTTATTCCCATTGGAAGCCAAGACGGCCTGAAAGGTTGATTGCTATGGCAAAGGGAACATTTTTACAATGACTATACAGATTAAACAGTTTATTTTCTGCAAATTACATCAACTAGATTTCCTTACTGTTTCAGGCATTGAAAAATAGGGAACTTTATGCCATGTCGCAACAAAGATCCAGCTGGCATTAAAGTTAAGTTCTGGGAAGTACAAGCTGATGTCTTGGGTAACTTGTTGGAGAATAGAGCCACTGGTATACTGAACATAGTAGATGTTACCACTTTGCCTATTGTCTAAATTGGTCCAGTAAGGAGCTATGATGTCTCTGCCTCCATACATTGGAAACGGTTCTGGTGAATTACTACTCCATGGTGCTTCAAAGGTCAGATGTCCATTGTTATTCACCTGCAAACAAAACACTCAAACTGAGTATAGCTCTTAATCAACTTTTTGATGAATGTTTCAATATTGTCTTCACAATTAAAAAGAAAAGTGGCTTAAAGTCTAAGAAAGAAGGTGACCATACATAAATCTGAGAGTAAGATTTGCCAAAATAGTTGAAGGTTTGAGGGAGTGAAATTCGTGGGGAGCTTCCATCAAGTTCTCGAGAACTTGCTGTTCCTCCGATTGTGTAGAGGGGTTCTAAAAAGTACAACAGAGATCAGCAAAAAGTTCTTCCTGTGTTCTTAAACATAGTAAAAATATGCAAGGTTGAAACATTCACTCAGGCTTGAAAATTCTATTCAGATCATATTGTACTGATGGATTATATATAATTTTGTAATAACAACAAACAATGTTTGGTGTGAGTGGCTTTCTGCCACATACCCGCACCGCAACTGCACAGCAGCTGCTGCACAGTGTTCAGTGTGAGTCTAAACTTATCCCTCTTAGGTTAACTTTTTTTTATGCATTCCATCACACTGGATCTTGGATATTTCTTCATGATTTTCACAACTTTGATTTGAACTGCTATTTTACTTAGCCACTTATCTTTGTTGTTTACCCCACGCACTTGCATGGTATCTCTGCTTTATTGCAGACATTTACAAAATAATTCAACAGAAGAAGTGCAAAATATGATGCTTTCTTCTTACCAATGCAGTCTCTTGATCCATTATCTAGGCGAAAAGCCCAGCGACCGGATACATTGACATTACTACCATGGCTTAAAAGTGAGCTGCTGAAGATTGTGTTATTAGACAATGATCTAACAAAGGTGAAATGGTGACAGGAATAGGCTGTGTCATATCCAGCCTGAAAATAACAGACACATAAAAAGTAGATTTTAGTCATATGTCAGAAAATAGACATTGGATATTGCAAAGACAAGACAAATACAAAATGTTCTATGCATATAACTGAAGTTCTCTAACCTCTATAGAGGTTTCCCTCGGTGCTAGGGCCCCATAATTCAGAAGCACAAATGAATAATTCCCATTGGAAGCCAAAACTACCTGAAAGGTTGATTGCTATGGAAAAAAGGGTAATTTTTACAATGATATGTAGATTAAACATAGTTTAATATACACTTGCATTTCAGAAATTATATCAAATAGCTCTCCTTACTGTTTCAGGCATTGAAAAATAGGGAACTTTATGCCATGTTGCAATAAAGATCCAGCTGGCATTAAAGTTAATTTCTGGGAAGTAAGAGTTGATGTCCTGGGTAACTTGTTGAAGAATAGAGCCGTCGGTGTACTGATCGTAGTAGATGTTACCACTTCTACTATTGTCTAAATCGGTCCAGTAAGGAGCAATAATGTCTCTGCTTTGATCCATTGGAAACTGTAATGGTATATAACGCCTCCATGGAGTTTCAAAGGTCAGATGTCCATTGTGATTCACCTGCAAATAAAACGGCATTTAAATTGGATGTTGGTGTTTATTTACTTTTTGGTTAATTTTTGAATATTGTCTTCAGAATTAGTAATACAAGCTTTAAGGTCTAAGATAAAGATGAACATACATAAATGTGAAAGTAAGATTTGCCAAAATAGTTGAAGGGTTGGAGGAGTGAAATTCTTGGGGAGCTTCCATCATCGCTTCGAGAGCTTGTTGTTCCACCAATTTGGTAGAGGGGTCCTAAAAAGTTCTTCCTGTGTTCTTAAACATATTCATAATATGCAAGGTTGAAATATTCACTCAGGCTTGTAATTTCTGTTCAAATGATATTGTACTGATGGATTATATATTATTTTGTGATAACAATAAACAATGCTTGGTGTGAGTGGCTTTCTGCCAAATACCTGCACCGCGACTTCACAGCAGCTGCTGCACAGTGTTCAGTGTGAGTCGAAACTTATCCCGCTAAGGTTTAAATGTTTTTTATGCATTCCATCACATCTAATCTTGGCATTTTCTTCAAGATTTTCACAACTTTGACATGCTATTTATTTTTTCCATCCACTTATCTTGTTTACGCACTTGTATGGTACTGTATCTCTGCTTTTATGGCAACCTTTCATAAAGGGTTTATGTTTTCAAAATAATCCAGCAAAAGAAAGTGCAAAATATGATGCTTTCTTCTTACCAATGCAGTCTCTTGATCCATTATCTAGGCGGAAAGCCCAGCGACCGGACACATTGACGTTACTACCATGGCTTAAAAGTGAATCGTTGAGAATTGTGTTATTAGAAAATGATCCAACAATGGTGAAATGGTGACAGGAATAGGCTGTGTCATATCCAGCCTGAAAATAACAGATGCATAAAAAATAGATTTTAGTCATATATCAGAAAATAGACAATGGATATTGCAAAGACAGGAAAAATACAAAATATTCTATATAACTGAAGTGCTCTAACCTCTATAGAGGTCTCCCTCGGTGCCAGGGCCCCATAATTCAGAAGCAAAAATGAATAATTCCCATTGGAAGCCAAAACTACCTGAAAGGTTGATTGCTATGGAAAAAGGGTAATTTTTTCAATGATATTTAGATTAAACATAGTTTAATATAAACTTGCATTGCTGAAATTACATTGAATGGATTTCCTTACTGTTTCAGGACTTGAATAATAGGGAACTTTATGCCATGTTGCAATAAAGATCCAGGTGGCATTAAAGTTAATTTCTGGGAAGTAAGAGTTGATGTCCTGAGTAACTTGTTGGAGAATAGAGCCATTGGTGTACTGATCGTAGTAGATGTTACCACTTTGCCTATTGTCTAAATCGGTCCAGTAAGGAGCAATGATGTCTCTGCTTCCATACATTGGAAACGGTTCTGGTGAATAACTACGCCATGGTGCTTCAAAGGTCAGATGTCCATTGTGATTCACCTGCAAATAAAACAACACTCAAATTGGATGTTGGTGTTTATTTACTTTTTGGTCAATGTTTGAATATTGTCTTCAAAATTAAAAAGAAAAGCCTTGAGGTCTAAGAAAAAGATGAACATACATAAATCTGAACGTAAGATTTGCCAAAGTAGTTAAAGGGTTGGAGGAGGGAAATTCGTGGGGAGCTTCCATCATCGCTTCGAGAGCTTGTTGTTCCACCAATTTGGTAGAGGGGTCCTAAAAGATACAATATAGATTAGCTAATTAAATAAAAATTTTATATTGTATAATTTAGTCATTTGTGTTTTAATTGGAAACCACTATTGAAAATATGAGAAACAACAGTTTTTTTCATTTTTATTTAGTTTCATAAGATAATATAGAAACATGGAAAATATTTCCGTTTTAGTTTTTCATTATGCCATACAGCACTAAGTTAAATATATTTAAATGAATACGGAATGCATAATTTTTGGTTTTTCATTTTGAGCTTTTATACCATCTCTTCCTTATGAGAGCAGATTACCTAAGAGTGCTATAGTAGATGTGGAAATTTTGCAAGCTGGCTCTTTTTAATGAACAAAATCAGTGGTTTTGATGCAGAATCTACTCTTCAATCCCAATTCTTTCAAGTTTAAAAAAGTAATTCTCAAGTCAAATTTATAATATAGTCCATTAAAAAAAAGGTTTGTCAAAGTGTCCTTATTCAAGAGGAAGAATTGAGTATTGCTCGTAATTTTTTTTTTTTTTTGGATGAATCTTTGTTTTTACAGTTTGCAGGCAGAGCGCAGTGTTGAACCTGTGGAACCTTGCTGCTCTAAGTCTTTGTGGTTTGATCTTACAAATTATTATCATAATTTAAAAAATAATATCATACATCCTTTTATATATGACACAAAATAATATTTGTAGAATTTTCATTTTTTAAACAGTTTAAAACAGCCAGGATGACATTATATGTATGAAGCAGCTTATATATTACCTGCCACACTAACTTACGTTAGTGCCTTGATTTCTAAATTAATAGAAGATATACATGTGAGAAACCTTAAAAACTGGTACAAACACCTTTGTAATTCTGCTATCTGATACAGCAACAATTCCTTATAAAACTATACGTCAGAGCCTAAAGGAAGTTATCTGTTGCCTTCATGTTTGAAGGAACTAAAGGGAGGGTGAGGAAATGAGACTCACGAGTGATGACTGATGTTACTGTAGGTAACTGCAGCTACCAGCCAAGCCGGTAGGAGAACGTGCAGAAATGATTCACGGAGAGGGCAAATTCACAGCACTGCATTGGTAAGTATTTACTACAAGACCATTTATATTTTATGACAGCAACAAACACCATGTAAAGCAACAAGGAAAGTAACTAATGTTTATTTTAGTGTAACTTTCATGTGGGCCTCCATATATTGTTTCTGCAAACCAACTATAGAAAAGCAAAATAAAAATGCAACACAAGCTAAAATTATTTTCCTTGATAGCAATATTATTTAGAGGTTATATTAGTTACCTTATGTTTTAAAAGTTAAAACAATTGAATTGCATATTATCGTGTGTAAACAATGTTTACATGCTGGTAGATATGCTAGACATATAGACAGACAGACAGGCAGTTTTAACTAACCTGAGTTCTGAACCCAGTCAAGATATATAAAGTCGATACATTACACCATGTTAACATTTTGTAAAGATTAAAGTAGATCCAAACTCTCAACTTACTTGGGCTCTGAATTGTCATTCCTCCTATAAAAACACAAAAAACACCAGTAAACATAAAATAAAGATAATAAAAATGTCCATACTTTAGACATCTTTAAAGTGTCTGCTAGAGTTTAGACTATTTATTTTATTGTTATGCCCAATATAATGTGTGTATTGTTTTATACATTGCTTTTTTTGCAATTATTATATAATACAAAAATAGTAAGAATAGTGAGCAGAGTGACAGAAATTGTAACTACCTGTGTTTTGAGTTGTCATTTCACCTACAAAAACACAAATATTGTTCATCAAGTTAACATACATGAAGTCATTACATTACACCTGGTTTGAATGGTGCAATGGAATTGTGCAAGTAGATCAGACATTTAATTTACCTGGGTTTTGGGTTGTATTTCCTTTAATAAAAAGATAAAAATCTCATTACATATACAATTGGAATAACAAATATCAATGCATTTAAAGGTGCATAATCACGTTATATGACCATATAAAAAAGCCCGAAAACCATTTGATCAAGATGGAATCACTGCTGCTTACCTTATCAAGGCTGCACTTAAAAAAATTAAAAAGTCTAGAGAGCTGTACTAAAACTAAATTTCTTTTTCTATACCCTTGTGTGTGTTTATAATTTAAAAAAGAGCTCAAAGTTCAGTTCACACAGATGAAAATAAACTAGTTGATTTTCAAAAAATTAACTAAGTTTACAAACATTTAAATTGACTAGTTTAAGTTCATTTAGTAAATTAAATCACATTCCTGCAAAATAGAAACTCAGACTTCACACTTTAAATGTTTAATAAAAATATATAGAAAGACATGAAAAATCATAATGCAGTCAAGGTATACTGTATGTGCAGTGAAGTCTTTATTTAGCCAAATTACACAGAACATCAGAAACATACAGGTGAATTCAGGCTCTGCTGAAAAGATCTATACCAAAAATGATTTCTTACGTTCCTCATTCAGTCAATATTTTCCAAGATAGATAGGATGCTGTAATTTCATGTGTCGCTTTATATTCTAAGTGGACGTAGCTGACTTCCAAGTGGGCACAGTTTGCACAAAAAAGTGTTTTATTTTTGGCCAAGTCTCCCTTTTTTAGTTTGTTAATTTCATAGAAATGCAGGTAGGACATTAACTAATTTGAATGATCCAAAACTCTCATTTAAAGGTATAAACAGGTGGTCTAAGGTTTGAATGATGAAGTTCAAAATATGTGAGATTTGTCCGTATTCTTCTAACTCACAAATGGAAATAATGATTGGTCTAATATGTCAAATGTTTGGCACTGAAATCTGATTTGGTGTAACATTTTAATTAAAGTCTTTGAAAGGGCGATGTTTAGATATTCAAAGAGGTTTTTTTATTAAGGTTTATCGAAAGTAAAATAAGACATGAAGAAGCTAGAATAAAGAGAAAAACAAAAACCTACGAACATACTATTAGAATAAATTAAATATAGAACATTTTTGATAAACGTATTATAGATATTAAATATGTGGTACAAAATAGCTAATGTTATTCATAATAGATAAATAAATAAGTTATGATGATACAGCTAAATTTTAGTGTAAGATAACAGGCTACATTAAACTAAGTTAATAGGTTAGATTCTGGTCTTAAGGAGGATTATAAATGCATCTTTTATTTAGTTTGGACTGTTTTTACAGATAAAATATAATGAATAACCTTCTTTTGCAGGAAATACATTAATATGACGAACATTTTCCATGGGTAAAGACACAGTTCTAGTAGATGATACATAGCTGGAAATGGATAACTATATCTGCTAACAAGAGTAATACATCTTTAACAATATTATTTACAATAAGGGTAAACAGTGCAAATGAATTAGTTGATTGGAACATTTTAAAATTTTAATTCTCTTAAACATAAACTGCATTTGAATATGTTAAATTATACCAAAGTTGATTAAAGTAGTAGTGATATCAATGCTTCTTTAAAACTGACGATTTGGAAAAAACTGATGATTGGAATAAAATTTAATTGGCAGTGTTATATGACCCCTTATGGCCTATTATAATTAAATTGCAAAGTTCCAAGTTTTTCTATGGTGGAATCAATTATTAATTGACAGAGGGTCCTGAAATTAAGGTAAAGCACTTTGAATTAAAGCTAAAAGACTAATTGTAATTACGGTACACAGTTTACATGGTTATATCTTTATCTTTAATTTTATTGGTATAGTTGCTACTCTGCTATTTTTTGGCTGTTTTAATAAACAGCCAAAAAAATTATAATTATTTAGCCTTCTGGTTCCCATTTGAACAAATTAAATTGTTTTATTTTTTAATAGTCCTTAAAAATCATTTATTGTACGTCAAAAAAACAAAACTGTTAAAATACAAGACAAGATATGATAAATAATTATCTTTTGGGCAGATACAAAAAAACTAGTCTTGACAAGTATGTTGCTCATATGAGATACAATAACCGGCATATTTAGTTACCACACATCCACATTTAGGCTTATTTAGCTCAGGTTCTAATAGAAAAACCTATGGTTGGATTACATGCCCCTCTAATTTAGAGCTAGGGGAAGCATTTCTTGGCAGACATGTTTCTCAAAATAACAATTGCATGGGCTTTGTGCTATTGGCTGATGCAGTCAGCGCTATTCACTTCTCTGATAAGGCACTCTCACACACAGCCAGCCTCTCTTACACTCTGTCATTCATTCAGTGAGATACAAAACATTTATTACAGAGGAAAATGTGAGGGAGAGATAGAAAAAAATCTGTAACTCCGTTTGTTAACATGTAAATAATAAATAAAGAAGATTTTCAACACAATTATACACCAAGATCTTCCAAAAATACTTATTTGGGTAACCAGAGTGAGGAGCATCAATAAAAAGTCATATAATGTGACTATGTACTTTTAGACTGTGTGATACAATTTAACCACCTCCACATTACCTGATGTCTGAGTTGTCCCTTTATCTACAGAAAAAAACAAACAGATATTGTGAAACATAAATAAAGCTGAGAGCTACAACTTTTTAATTAAAAAATTTGTTTTAAAATATTAGTTAAAATTGTAATAATTTACTTTTTTTAATTCAAAACTAATATATCCCCAGAATACCAGAATATAATTTATACATCAAAAAAGTTTTAAAAATCAATTCATAGATATGTAAATATTTACTTCTTGTTATAATCCCAATGAGGAATTAAGAATTAAGGAGCAATAGAAAAACATTGGAGCTTATGCATTGCCAAACATTAGTAGCTTTGTAATAGTGCTGAGAAATAGCTTCATCTCAGCACTACATTTCTCATATTCAAGTCCCTAAAAAAATACAAAAAGGTGAAAATCAGTCAAACTGATTGTTGCCAGCTTAAGGAGACTTAAAGAAGGCACGCAGAGGTCGCTGCTTTCCTTTTGAACAGGTAGTTTGAACCTATTTTAATGTAAACAAAGGTTAACATGACATCAGGACCTAACATTATGGAACGACAGCAGAGAAGCATGAGTGTGCCACTTACTGTCAGGATGTAGTTAAAGGTATAGTGGAGGATTTACACATAAAAAAAAAAAAAAAAAAAAAAAAAAAACTTCCTCTCCAATTAAAAAAAATAAATAAAAAAATGCACATGCACAACCCTGTACCCGCTCCCAGGAGGGAACGCCTATTAAACGTTTGAGAGCATTTACAAGCCGGTTTCTCCTTGTGCATGCTCTGTTTAAAAGTTGCTGTTTGCATTGCTCCTACAGTACAAGCTTACTTTCCAAAAGAAGATTTGCAATTTTTCCACTATGTCAGACTCACTATTGATCAGTAAAAATGGGGACAAGCACGTAGGACGACCACTTATTTTGATGATCCACCCAGAAAAATAACATCCTCCACTATAACTAAAATTTTTTTAGATTGCACATTTTGTTTGACTATCCTAAATAAATAAATTCAAGTAGTTTATTTGCTTTGAGATGTTTTTCTTTATTAAACTTTTTTCTGTGTAATATATGAGTATACTGTTTTATTGACTATGTACACTATTTGATTTTATTTATCTTTATTTTCATTTATATTTGAATGTTAAAGCTGTGTTTTTTAGTTCAATAGATTGATTACAGTTTTCATATTTCATGTTTCATTGGATTCATTCATATAGATATATTTATTTAAGGTTGATTAGAGTGGGTACTCACCAATAATTGACAGAAGAAGTACAGGTAGTATTATTTTCCCCACCATCCTGCAAAAGTCTAAAGTGAACCCTGATAAAACAAAGATTATAACAAAAAATGATTTTAGGATGAACTAATGATGTTGATCCAAGAATTTATGAAACAAAACCACTTTGTTATCTGCTGACTTAACAAAGTATATCGCGATTAATACTGTTAATAAAATATTTTTTGTGGCAAACAAACAATCATAAAAGTTTTACCTTCACTATGTCCTCTCTAGTCTGTTTAATAATAGAATGGGGATGCGACAAGGTTATATACATCAATAGCTGGCACAAATTCAATGTTTAGTTTTGCATGAAAGAACAACGCCAATCCTTCCTCATATTTAAGCACAGTGAGGTTTCTTCCCAGAGAAAAAGATATGCATATTTAAACCTGATTTTAAGTGTACAACAGGTATAACAAGTTTTGATGATTAGCAACAATGACATTGCTCTTTTTCAGAGAAAAGCAAAGGGCGATACATGCAATAGACGCATAAAGGATGCAAACTTTGAAAACACATGACATAAATTCAATAGACAATTTTTCAAAATTAAAACTACTGCTATCACATAAATATACAAAAATATATACAACCAACAAAAAAAATCAAAGAAAAAATTTTGCAATCAAGGCCCTCCTTAAATCATACTGGCCCCAACACTTCCTCTCCGGTCGAAGCACCTACCTGCGATAGATATCTACACCCCAGACTAGAAAATTGATGAATTTTTTTTTAATATACAGGAGATCACACTTATGATGGCACATTATATTTGTCTGTTTGGTAGGTAGCGTTTAGCTGCAACTCTCCCTCAGAAATTATATTGAAACAGGAAAGGGTCTTTTGCTTTCTGTAAAGAAAGTGTGTATTTTAGGTTTATTCTGAAAAAAATGACAGCTCTAGTTTTGTGTTGTTTATCTAAAGAGGTTGGATTCAAAATATTTTACAACAAAGCCACTTAATATAAAAATATATTTTTGTTTGAAATGATTACACGTGTCAATAAACCATATATTTTTTTTTAACAAAAAGTAAAAGAAGAAGAACAAAAAAGAAAATAAATGTCCATAGCTGTATATTGGTATTTATTCTCCAGGTGCACAGTTTTTATATTACTAAAACACTTTACAGTTCAGTATTTTTATTTTTTATCTTTTAACTCTTCACTAGTATGTTATTCTGATACATTTTTCTATGGTACATATTTGTGTGCCATTTCTTTTCTATAATCTTTTTGCTGCCGTAAACACCAGAATCTTCCCATTGTTGGAGAATAGAGGGATTTTCTATTCTATTCTATTCTATTCTATTCTATTCTATTCTATTCTATTCTATTCTATTCTATTCTATTCTATTCTATTCTAAAAAATTAAACTTTAGCGAATTCTAGTTTAAACTCAATCTTTGGGAGTTTGGTAAAGCAAAACAAGTATTTGAAAGCTTTATTCACATATTCTGGATATGTTTCATTGTTGAAAGCTGTGATTCAAGGATAGGCTGGTGTGATTCAAGCATTCAAGTCACTTCTCTTCACTTGGCACGCCTTATTAACATGTTGGTTTTGTACTTGAAGCCTTTATCATTTCTCTGCCAGGAATTGAGAAGTAGACTAACCGGTCTTGTATTCATAGTGTTGTTAAAAGCTGAGGAGAACTCATGAAACATATCAAGTGCAAAGAAATGCGGCTGTAATTATGTCTAGTTATTTTACCACACCTCTGAAAAAGTTGTTTGTTTTTACTATTTTGCTTGGTCATACCTACATAGCTTTTTGTCATTCTAAGGCATGTACCAGAGGAGAGACTTCCTTACTCCACACCTTTAGCAGTACGTTTTTTAAATGATTTGCTATATATACACCCTGTTTCAGTTGACCCCACAGCTTCTCATTTAGTTGAACGTCTAGGCTTTGACTCATTTATAGACTTTCTCCATTTATTATGTTTCAGTTAGAACTTAGTGAATTTACACCCTTTGATACAGCATGATTCCCTGTAAACAGGCCAAGTCCCGCTGCCACAAAGAATTCCTAAACAATGACATACCTTCATAGTTTACAGTTGGCTTGATATTATTTACCTGGAATGTTTTATTTGGTTTTATGCCAAACGTGTCCTCTGTTCTGGGTCAAATAATTTAAGCTACAACTCATCCTTCTAATTAAGATAACTTCACAACTCATAATCTTTGTCTACATTTAGTCTCACAAACTCAGCTGTTGCATTCTCACTTTTATTTTAGAGCAAAGCTTTCCCATTTGCCTCCATTAATGTTAAACTTGTACAGATTCTTTGTAATTGCAAAAGTGTGTTGTTTTGCAGCATGCCTTTACAAGCACATCAAGTTTAACTTGCTGCCAGTGCCTTAGTAAATGAAGGTAGTGAAACCTGGTTCAATGTCAGGGACTCTGTCACTAATCTTAAAGGGCCTTTAACCTTTTCCCAAAACATCTACAGGAAATAATGTATTAATTTAGCTATATCAATTTTAAGCATTTTTTTGTCTGTTTGTTATTATGCAGGGATACTTGGTAATGAGCTGCCAAACACAAATTTCTGTCAGTAGTTAAGAGAGGCAATTTTTTTTCAATCTATTTTTACTACTGAACATCCACGCATAAGACAATCAATTATCAGTGTTATTAAGTCTACTGCATGAAATAAAGATTTTCATGATGATGCTTCAAGTAAGGAAGAAGAAAATGAAGAAGGAATGTTGCCTGGGGGCAGTTGCTCGAAGACTAAACTAACCGGCACCATAAGAAATTATTTAAAAGTGCTGTGGGGCGAGCCAGTACTAGTTGTAAAATGCTATAGTGTTTATTGACTGTAACTGTAATTAAAAAAATCATTTGCTTTGGCCACATTCTGATTATAGTCATTTCTGCCCTGGTCCTGCCCTGTATTATCATCTCTTTTTCTCTCCAAAACTATCACCAGAATATAAAGGGAGCCCTACAGTAATTGTGTAAATCTTTCTTTTCTATTTCCTGCTTGGAGTGGAGAAATCTAGATTGCGTCTACATCTACAACTTTGCTGTTGATGCCCTCTTCTGGGCGAGGAGTGTAATATTATGTGACCAAATCTTTCAACAATTCTACTATGAAAGTTTGGAAGTAGTTGTTTACAACTCAAATAATTACCATTATTGCTTGTAGATTATTCTAAATAGTGTGTTTATGTTTTGAGTCATGCTTTTATTCTTTGCAAGCTCCCTTTTATGGCCATTAGTTTTCCAGTAAATAAGTAATTTTTTTTCTGGGATGTTTTGCTGCACAGAAGATTGGTGCATTTCAAGTAATGCATGACAACATAAGAAAGAACATGAAGTTTTATTTTTATAAAAAAAAAAGATAGGATTTTAGAGAATGAGTTGGAGAAAGCCTTCTGGTTACTGATATGCTGTCCCTATCATGAGTATGCCTTCTTTCATCAGCTAGACAACAATGCTCCAATAAACAGACATGTGCTCTTTGGTTTTTTGCTTGTTTAATGAAGAATGGCCTTTGACCATTGCCCTCTCTTTGACCATTGTAAAAGAACAAATCCTGTCCAAACACAATCACAAATAAATGTTTCTCTGGAATTACGTTATACCATCTTGGATCTATTGCTTCCACTAGCTCCCTTACCAAAAAATATACCAAAAACAACCACCAGACAGAGCTACTGTATGGTGATTTACAAAAAATGTATGTAGTATAATACAGAAAAGGCAGAACAACTCACAATATTC